AAGAATACAAAAAATATAGACAATGTTGAAGTTTGTCATCATAATTGATTGAATCACTTTTGTTGTTATGACAAACCAGAAATGGATTCTCTTTAGAAAAATAAGTAAATGAGTTTAATTCACTTTTTATGGATACGTATTAAATTGAGATATAGCTCTTTTGTACTGAACCTATTCAAAACTGAAAACCATGGTCCTCTGTGAATGTTTAATGGCTGCTGAATGCTTAATATGACCTGAGTTGACACTATCAGCGGGCATCAATGTGGAAGTAGTAGATCCTTTACTTTAAAAAATATACTTCTTACATATAAAAGCTCTGCATTTAAATGTTCACTTCAGTAAGAATACACACCTAATATCAGGAAAGTGTACTCAAAGTATCAAGAAAAAATAATAATTAATATGCAGAATGACCCACATCAGTATTACAGATTATAATACTGTATTTTTTTTATACATTCATGTATAAGCAGCCTTTTAATGTTGTAGCTGGTGGAGGTGGAGCTAGAGTAAACTATCGCACATACTGCTGCGTCGTTTCTTCTATAATAATGCGTCATATATAATGAGACAATAATATGTTTTGTATGTGAAAATATCCCTGGAGAAAGTGAAGCCTCTCAACAACGTGTCCAGTAACTCAATGAGTACATGACGCAGCACCAAACAAAGGCTCACCCGTTTACCTGACATCAATATTCAAGTTGTCGTGAACTCTAGCCAGGACTGTCAGGAGAAGAGAATTGCAACATTTAGCATAGAGGATCTCCTTCAGGTCTTTTGAATCTTTTATGGGGGTGGAGGGGGAAAAAAAGGAAAAATGGAGCGGTTTCAGAGAGGAATCAATAATAAATCAAGCATGCATCTTTGTGAGGCTGCTGAAGAAACCCAATTTAACCCATCCATCATGTTCAAACCTTTATTTTATAAAAACCTGTAAGGGAAAAGTGAAGGGAGGAATCAGTGGCTGATTTACAAGAATAGTGTGTCATGTATGAGGTTTCATTTGGGCCACAAATGTGCGTCTCTTCAGAGTAGCACCTTTTATATTGTCGTACCTTTTGTACATGGCTTCTGTTTGATTTTGTCACGCTTCTGCCAGCTGACTTGGCACATCACTTGTGTCATTTGCATTTGTTCATAGCTTCTAGAAATTGAAAGCAACAGCACACCTCAGTCCACATAAAAGAGCAGGTAAGGGCATCAGACTGGAGCAATCACCAGCTATTATATATGCTGTACAATCCTTAGTGTGTGTAAAACAACAGTATTTGGGCACAAACAGAATTATAACTGAAACAGTCAGTCTAATGAATCATTTAAGTCAGGCATCAGTGCATTTTTGGCACAAACAGAACCTCGTATATGTAATGTCTCAGTAGCTAAGCTGTAAATATTGTGTCTCTGAACCTAAGGTGTAGCACAAAGGCTAAGTTTTCCCTGTGCCATGTGTGACACTATAGACGGTTTCTCATTCTTCTATGCATTAATACATGAGAAAAAACCTGTTGCATTTGATTCAAAAACAACTAAACTTTGAAATGTTGTCCTGCAGAAAGCCAATCTGCCCTTGGGTGACAGCAGCGAAACTCAAACATCGTGTACTTCTTCAAACTTTCAAGATCTGACCCATATCACCGAGGTTGTGTGACCTTTCAGAAAGGCAGCTGAGGGTGCATGTGAGAAAAGTTTAAAGCTCAGGCAGAAAGAGTGAGTGAGTGAGAGACAGACAAAG